AACAAAAGCTCTTTGGGGCCCTCAGTAATTTTTGAAAGGGTAAAGGAATCCTAACACCAGAAAGTTTGTGAACTTCTGGCTTGGCAGAAAATACTTGGCCAGAAGTTGGTATGTTTGAGCTCTCGTCAAGACTTTGATGTGTGACTATGGACAAGTCATTTTAGCCTCTTTAATTGCTTTTTTCTTACATAAGTGTTAATAATTACCCTCATCTACATACCACATCTTAAAAGTAAGTTAAGTTTATATGAAAGGCTTTGCAAATATAATGTCCTCTGCAAATGTCAGGAATTTAATGTTACACAACAAAACTGATGTTGGAAGAAAACGTAAAGAACAAGAGTTTCTGGTGTGTTCTCTGACATTCTATTCACTTTTAAAATTTTCTCATTTTTGCATCCTGACGGGTTCCTATTTCTGTTTCTCAAGTTTTCAAACAGCCATTTAAACATTTTACTATTAAAGTATAGTTGACAGGCAATGTTATATTAGTTTCAGATGTACAACAGAGTGATTCCGTAATTCTGTACATGACTCAAAGCTCACCAGGAGAAGTAGAGTCACATCTCTCACCATAGGGTGGTATGTAATACAATGTTATGACAGTATTATTGACCATATTCCCTACGCTCCACTTTTGATCCTCATGGCTTATTTACTTTATGACTGGAAGTTTGTACCTCTTAATGCCCTTCACCTCTTTCACCCATCCCGCCATTCACCTCCCTCCTGGCAACCACCAGTGTGTTCTCTGTATTTAAGATTCTGTTTTGGTTTTTAGATTCCACGTAAGTGAAATCATATGTTACTTCTCTTTCTCTGTCTAAATTATTTCACTTAGCATAATACCCTGTAGACCCATCCTTGTTGTCACAAATGGCAAAATTTCCTTCTTTTTTTAGGACTGCTATTCCTGTGTGTGTGTGTGTGTGTGTGTGTGTCTGTCTGTCTGTCTTCTGAATCTATAGGTCTTCTTTATCCCTTCATCTGTCAGTGGGCAATTGGGTTGCCTCTGTAAAGTGGCTACTGTAAATGATGCTGCAATAAATAAGGATGTATATATATACACACACACGCATACACACACACACACACACATACATATATATCTTTTCAAATTTGTTTTTTTTGCGGGTAAATTTTCAGTAGTGAAATTACTGGATCATATGGTATTTTTAATTTTTTAAGGAACCTCCATTTTTACACATTTTATACAATGGTTGCACCTATTTACAGTCCCACCATAGCATGCAAGGGTTCTCTTTTCTCCAATCTTTGACAACACTTGTCGTTTCTTGTCTTTTTAATACTCATCATTTTGATTGGTGAGAGGTGATCTCTCAGTGTGGTTTTGATTTGCATTTCTCTGAGAGAGATTAGTGATGTTGAGCACCATTAGCCATCTGTGTATGTGTGTCTTTGGAAAAATGTCTATTCAGGTCCTCTGCCCATTTTTTAAATCAGATTGGTTGGGTTTTTTTTGGCGTTGAATCACCTAAGTTCTTTTTTTAAATTTTTTTTAATGTTTATTCTTGAGAGAGAAAGAGACTGAGCATGAGTGTTCTTTATGTATTTTGGATATTAGCCCCTTGCCCAATATATCATTTGCAAATATCTTCTCACTAGGTTGCCTTTTTGTTTTGCTGATGATTTTGGTCTTGGTTTTTTGTTGTGCAAAAAGCTTTTTATTTTGGTGTAGTCTCATTCGTTTATTTTCATTTTTGTTTCCCTTGCCTGAGGAGGCTTATCCATAAATATAAGGTTGATGTCCAAGAGATAACTATGTTTTTGCTTAGGAGTTTTATGGTTTTGGGTTGCACATTTAGGTTTTTAATCCATTTTGAGTTTACTTTTGTGTGTGGTGTTAAAGCAGTGGTCCGGTTTCATTCTTTTGCATGTAGCTGTCCAGTTTTCCCAGCGACATTTCTTGAAAAGACTCTTCCCCAGTGTGTACTCTTGGCTCCTTTGTTGTAGGTTAATTGGCCATAAATGTGGGTTTATTTCTGGGCTCTCTATCCTGCTCCATTGTGCTACACCATTTTGAGTACTATAGCTTTGTAGTAGATCTTGAAATGTGAGGGTGTGATTTGTTCTTTCTCAAGATTGCTTTGGCTGTTCCAGGTCTTTAGTGGTTCCATACAGATTTAAGGATTATTTGTTACAGTTCTGTGAAAACTGCTGTTGGTATTTTGATAGAGACTGCACCCAATCTGTAGAAAGCATGGACATTTTACAATATTAATTTTTCCAATAGATGCACATGGTATATCTTTTCATTTGTGTCATCTTCAGTTTATTTCATCAATGTCTATAGTTTTCAGAGTTTAGGTCTTTCACTTCCTTGGTTAAATTTACTTCTAGGTATTTTATTCTTTTCATTCTTTAAAATGGGATTTTTAAAATTTCTCTTCCTGCTACTTCATTATTAGTGTACAGAAGTACAACAGATTTCCTTTTTAAAAATTTTTTAAGTTTATTTATTTATTTGGAAAGAGAGCATGAGCAGCAGAGGGGGAAAGAGAGAATCCTAAGCAGGCTCCCCACTGCCAGCACAGAGCCCAGTGTGGGGCTCAAACCCATGAAACTGTGAGATCATGACCTGAACCAAAACTAAGAAGAGTCAGATGCTGAACCACCTAAGCCACCCACGCGCCCCAAGGAGTACAACAGATTTCTATCTATTAACTTTATATCCTGCAGCTTTAGGGTTTTCTATATGTAGCATTATGTCATCTGCAAATAATGACACTTTTGCTTCTTTCTTACCAATTTGGGTGCATTTATTTCTTTTCCTTGTCTGACTGCTGAAGCTAGAATTTCTAGTACTGTGTTAAATAAAAGTGGTGACAGTGGACTTTTTCTTGTTTCTGATCTTGGAGGAAAAGCTTTTAGTTTTTCACCATTGAGTATGATGTTAGCTGTGAGTGTTTCATTCATATTTGACCATGTTGAGATAGGTTCTCTGTAAACCACTTTGTTGAGAGTTTTTATCATGAACAGATGTTGTATCTTGTCAAATGCTCTTTCTGTCTGTATTGAGATGATCATATGGTTTCTATCTTTTTCCTCTTGTTAATATGATGTATCACATTGGTAGATTTGTGAATATTGAACCACTCTTGCATCTGTGGAATAATTCCCACTTGATTCTGGTGAATGATCTTTTAATGTATTGTTGAATTCAGTTTGCTAACATTTTGTTGAGGATTTTTGGATCTGTGTTCATCAGTAGTAATGGCCTATAGTTTTCTTTGTAGTGTCTTGGTTTTTAGCAATGGCAGTGTTGGCCTCAAAGAATGAATTTGGAAGTTTTCCTTCCCCTTCTATTTTTTTGAAATAGTTTGAGAAGAATAGGTATTAACTCTTTTTAAAACGTTAGGTATAAATCACCTGTGAAGCTGTCAGGCCTTCAACTTTTGTCTGAAAGGAGTTCTTGTTATTATTTACTGATTCGCTTTTATAACCAATAATTGGTTTCTCCAGATTTTCTATTCTTATTCAGTATTGGAAGATTGTATGTTTCTAGGAATTTATTTCTTCTTGGCTGTCCAGTTTGTTGGCATGTTTTCATAGTAGTCTAATTCTTTGTTTCTGTGATGTCAGTTATTATTTCTCCTCTATCATTTCTGATTTTATTGGAGTCTTCTTTCTTTTTTTCTTGATGAGCCTGGTCAGAGGCTTACCAATTTTGTTTGCCTTTTCAAAGAGCCAGCTCTAGGTTTTATTCATCTTTTCTCTTGTTTTTTAGTCTCTGTTTCATTCGTTTCCATCTAATCTTTATTATTTTCTTCCTTTTACTAACTTTGGGCTTTGTCCTTCTTTTTCTAGTTCCTATAGGTGTAAGGTTAGATTGTTTATTTGAGATTTTTCTTGTTTTTTGAAGTAGGTCTATATCACTATAAACTTCCCTCGTAGAACTGCTATTGCTGCATCCCAAAGATTTTGGACCATTTCATTCTCATTTGTCTCCATGTATTTTTTAATTTCCTCTTTGGTTTATTTATTGACTCATTAGTTGTTTTGTGCCATGTTGTTTAGCCTCCATGTGCTTGTGTTTCTCCAGTTCCTTTCATGTAATTGATTTCTAGTTCCATTCCATTGTAATTGGAAAAGATGCTTGATATGAGTTCAGTCTTTTTAATTTTATTAAGATTTGTGGCCTAATGTGTAATCTGGTCTGGAGAATGTTTCATATATACTTGAAAAGAATGTGTATTCTACCATCTTTGGATACAATGTTTTAAATGTATTGATTAGGTCCATCTGATCTAATGTATCATTCACAGCCATTGTTTCCTAATTGATTTTCTGTCTGAATGATTTATCCATTGATGTAAGTGTGCTTTTGAAGTCCGCCACTCTTCAGCTTCTTTCCTTATGTCTGTTAATATTTGTTTCATGTGTTTAGGTGCTCCCGTGTTGGACATGTCAATATTTATCATTGTTATATCCTCTTACTGGATTGATCCCTTTATCACTATGTAATGCCCTTCTTTGTCTCTTGCTGCAGTCTTTGTTTTGAAGTCAGACAGTCATTTTAATTATTAACATAAATTGAGTAAATACATTTTCCAAGGTTTTCATTCAAGAAGGAATTTGTATTCTTGATACCTTGAAATAATGTCATAAGGTCAGGGACTGTATTCTGGAGAAACCACTTACTAGTCACGGTGTGACTTTAGGAAAGTTAGTTAACCTCTCTGTGTCTTGAGCTTCTTATCTATGAAATGGGACTAATAATTCCTTACTTTCCAGGACAATTATGAGTATGAAAAATAATGTATAGGAAGCCCTTTGCCAGGTGCTTGGTATATAATAGGTGCTCCATAAATGACAGTGCTTATGTTTGTTGTTAGTATATAAGAAAAAAAGATGTAAAATTAAATTTTAGTCTCCTACCCTGTCTTCTGTGAATTTATTAAGTTACTTATAAAACAAATTTGTTGACAGTAATTTCCATTTTATTTGATTTAATTATTATTATTTTTTTTACTTTGAAGGGCTGTTGAGTGGCCAGACTTCCCCAACAAATACCAAACTGGAGAAATTGGATTCTCAGCAGGTGTTACAGCTCTGCCTCCGATATCAGGACCACCTTCATCAGTGTGCAGAGGCCGTTGCCTTTGACCAGAATGCTTTGGTTAAACGAATCAAAGAGGTAACATACTGTGGGAAAATACCACCACCACCTGATGATTGTCATTTCCTCTGACTACCAAGTCCTTTTCTACTGGGTAGTAGAGCCAGTGATCCAAGCTTTATGGGAAGTAGTCATTTTCTATATTAGTTTTTTTTTTTTTTTACATTTTATTTATTACATTTTATTTTACTTATTTATTTTGAGAGAGAGGGTGAAAGTGAGCAAGGGGCAGAGAGAGGGAGGGAGGAAGAGAGAGAGAGAGAAAGTGGGATTCACTTAAAGTAGGGCTCGTGTGCATCCATAGCAGGGCTCAAGCTCACCCGAAGTGGGACTCGAACTCACGAACCGTGAGATCATGACCTGCGCCAAAGTCAGATGCTCAACGACTGAGCCACTCAGACACCCTGTCTTAGTCTTGACGTTTGTCCCCATTGCTTTAGATAGATTGTCTTTCCTAGCAGTAAAACGTGACAGTGAAAAGGAGTAGTCTGTGGAGCTGGACTAATCTGGAATTTGAATCCTGGTTCACCACTTACTTGCTTGGATAAGTTACTTAACTCATCCTGGTCTCAGTTTTCTCATCTGAAAAACAGGGTAATAGTCGTAACCTGTCCCAAGTGTTGAGTGACGATTAAAGTGCTTGGTAAGTGTTGGCTATTGTTAGTGTGTGTAAAGTCCTAGTTTACTAATCTGTTCTAGTTAATGTTATATCTTTGAACTGACTTTAGCTGTTTCCTATCTGTAATTTACATTTTGTTTTCCAATAGGGTATCAGTTGTTTGAGGGCAGGAGCCTTGGTATCTCTTTCAGTTATTTTTTCACAGTATTAGCACGTGAAACACTAGGTGATTTTTATTGGTTGGATGGAAACAGTTATGCGTACCTCACGCACGAGGTTTTTGTGAGGGAAGAGCAAGAGAATTCATGTTAAAGTACTTAGAAAACTCAAGTGCATGGTACAAATGTTTAGTAATTATTAATAACAGTAAGTAGGTACTTCTGTTAAGCACTTAAACATATCATTGACTGGGCCCCTGTGTGGCACAGCTCTGTGAGCGCTAAGGCAGCGTTCATAAATTTTCCAAAGTTTTCAATAAAGAAGGGATTGAGATTCCTAATACCACAAAGTAGTATCATATAAAGAAAAGGTCAGGAGCTGTGTCTTGGAGAAACCACTTATGCTAATAGCACCACCTGAAGTTGTGTAAATAGTCCTGGTCATTGGCTCAGGTGTGAAAAGAAGATGGCCATGAGGACACACACAAGTAAAGGGTTGCAAATTCATTAACACTTAGTAATAGATACAATACATCCCTGAGATTACAACATTGTCACTAGTTACACCGATAGATTTAAATTTGCCAGCAGCTCCAGTATTTTACTACTTACCTTTCATAAGTAGTATACGTATATGCTTCTTTTGTAAATTAAATACTTTTACTTGGAAGACAATTCCAAACTGTCATTTCATGTTTTCATATTGGCTGGCATTGTTGTAGCTTTTCAAATATTAGAAACTTCTTTTTCTATAGTATGATCTACAGAGATTTAAGTCCCAAACATGGTTATGTATTAGAATCTCTTGAGTTTTGTGTTTGTTTTAATACTGAGTTCTCCTCTCCTGCCAGTAGGTCTAGGATGTGGTCTGTGAATCATTATTTTAATACACTTAGCAAATGATATGAAATCCATTCTCCACTACGTGAGATTTGGGAATCAATGGTCTAGAGCACTATTTTCCAAAATAAATTCTACAAAACTAATCCCATATGAAGAAAGTCAACCTTTTTGCATATTCCATCACCACCCTTGGAAAATCATGATGCATATTATTTTATGAAAAGTTCTTAGGAATTGGGGGCGCCTGGCTGGCTCAGTCAGAGGAGTGTGTGACTCTTGATCTTGCGGTTGTGAGTGTAAGCCCCACGTTAGGCGTAGAGATTACTTAAAATCTTAAGGGGCACCTGAGCGGCTCAGTCAATTAAGGGTCTGACTTTGGCTCAGGTCATGATCCCACTGTTCATGAGTCCCAGCCCCACATCAGGCTCTCTGCCGTCTGCACAGAGCCCACTTTGGATCCTCTGTTCCCCTCTGTCTCTGCCTCCCTGGCTTGTATTCTCTCTCTCTCTCTCTCTCTCTCTCTCTCTCTCTCTCTCTCTCTCTCCTCTCTCTCTCTCTCTCTTAAAATAAAGAAATAAACTTTAAAAAATTAAAAATAAAATAATATCTTGAGGGATGCCTGGGTGGCTTAATTGGTTAAGTAAGCATCTGACTTCAGCTCATGTCATGATCTCAGGGCTGGCGAGTTTGGGCCCTCCATTGGGCTCTGCTGACAGCTTGGAGCCTAGAGCCTGCATCAGATTCTGTATCTCCCTCTGTCTCTCTCCCCCTTCCCCACTCATGCTCGCTCACTCTCTCTCTCTCTCTCTCTAAAAAACAAATCAACATTAAAAAAAAAAATACTAAAATCTTGGAAAAGAAGTTCTTAGGAATCTTACAGTAAAGAAGATTTTCAAACTTATTTTTTTCATTTTGTTAAATGTTTATTTTTGAGAGAGACACACACACACATACAGAGTGCAAGCTGGGGAGGGGCGGAGAGAGGGAGACACAGAATCTAAAGCAGGCTCCAGACTCTGAGCTGTCAGCACAGAGTCCAATGTGGGGCTCAAACACACGAACCACAAGACCATGACCTGAGCTGAAGTCGGTGCTTAACTAATGTCGATGCTTAACGGACTGAGCCACCCAGGCACCCCTTTTCAAACTTGTTTGACCTCAGAATGCTTATCTTAAGGTAACATCATATAGAAGTAGTGTTTTTTAGAACATTCTTTGGGAAATGCTTCTGCATTAAGACATAAGACCTTATCATTAAAAAAAATTTTTTTTAACATTTTTATTTATTTCTGAGGGAGAGAAAGAGAGAGAGCACGACAGCATGAACAGTGGAGGGTCAGAGAGAGAGGCAGACACAGCATCTGAAGCAGGCTCCAGGCTCTGAGCTGGCTGTCAGCACAGAGCCCGACACGGGGCTCAAACCTATGAACCATGAGATCATGACCTGAGCTGAAGTCAGATGCTTAACCAGCTGGGCCACCCAGGCACCCTAAGACATTACCATTTTTGACTGTTGTGATAGAAATCAACCATGATGTTAACTCGTAGAAGATTTTAGAACAACAAATCTATTTCATTATGCTTTTCATTTTCTTTTTGGAAGGTCCTGTAACCCATTTCTCCTGTTTTATAGTTCAGGCAAATGTAATACAGAAAGGGTAAATGACAAGCTCAGTATCAGAGAGCTGGGTGATGTGTAGCTGGTGATACCAGCTAGAGCTCCTCACTATACCTCATTTTCAGGACTCCAGAGCAGTGTTTCTTGGCCCTGAATGTGTGTTTGAATCACCTGGGAAGTTTTGCCTCCAGCATGTATGATGGAGAATTTTACACACACACTGAAGTGCACAAGTATCATGAACCTTTGTGCACTCATTACCCAGCTGCTCACTACAGGCATCAATTTTTTTTTAAGTTTTAAAAATGTTTATTCATTTTTGAGAGACAGAGTGTGAGTGGGAGAGAGGCAGAGAGAGAGGGAGACACAGAATCCGAAGCAGGCTCCAGGCTCTGAGCTGTCAGCACAGAACCAGACGCGGGGCTTGAACTCACAAACTGTGAGATCATGACCTGAGCTGAAGTCTGACCCCCGGCCGACTGAGCCGCCCACGCGCCCCACTATAGGCATCGCTTGTGAAAGCTCCTGTCTTGTTCATACTCCCACCCCTGCCACCTCTCCCGCTGGTCTGTTTGTCAGTAAATCTCAGGCATATAATTTCATTCATAAATCTGTAAGTATGTATCTTTTTTTTTTTTTTAATTTTTTTTTAATGTTTTATTTATTTCTAGGAGAGAGAGAGAGACAGCGTGAGCAGGGGAGGGTCAGAGAGAGAGGGAGTCACAGACTGAAACAGGCTCCAGGCTCTGAGCTGGCAGTCAGCACAGAGCCCGACGCGGGGCTTGAACCCACGAACCGTGAGATCATGACCTAAGCGAAAGTCGGACGCTTAACCGACTAAGCCACCCAGGCGCCCCTGTAAGTATGTATCTTTAAAGGCAAAGGATTCTTTTGAAAACTTTTCAAAATTTCAATTAATTTTAGACTTAGAGAAAAGTCACAGAAGTAATTTAAGGAGTTCTTCTAAAGTGAGCATTTTATAGAACTTTAGTACAGTGATCAAAATGAGGAAATCAACATCAGTTCCACCCTGGTAACTAAGCAGAGACCTTACTCGAACTTTATCAGTTTTTCCACTAAAAACTCTTTTGCAAAACACAGCCGTAATGCTGTTGGCATACCTGAAATAATAACTTATTCAGTATAGCTGAAGTGCTTTTAAGAAGCAATTGATGTATATAGGTCTCTCTCTGAACCAGTTAGATAAAAATCTTGAAGGTGAGTGGGTGGGGAAGGGAGGAAGCTGGGCATTGGTATTTATGAAAGTGTTCTAGATGATTCTACCATGTAACCAGGGTTGAGAACCAGTGTTTGGGAGCATTCATTCAAAACAAACCGAGTTAAAAAACAAAACAAAAAAACCAAAATGAGTTTAAAATCATTTGAGTATTCGCTTTGAGTAGTCATTAGTTACCTGGGATTGTTACAGAACCGGGAACAGTTCTCAGTACTGAGCAGCGGTACCTCGGTAGTTCTCTGAAGGTGAAGGAGGTGAGCACTGTTTTAGGGTCTTCATTGGTGACTTGGCATCTCTGTTGGCAGGTGCTAGCGAACTCCTAACACATACACATCCATCTGTGCTCACCTGTGACCTCAGGGTTGAAATTAGTCACTTCCAAATGAACAAAGCAGAGGATGTAGTTTTGATATAACACCAAGTCTCTAATATTATTCCAGATGTTTCCTGGAAATTTGGTTGCAAGTGTGAGGAAGTAACATAATGCTGTATGTGTTGAAAAGTAAGGAACTTAATAACCTTGGAGAATATGTATTAGTGGAC